ATAAGTGAAAAGCCGAACCACCCCATATCCCCTCCAGCAATTGTCACAATGGAAAAATAACTCTTGGAAATGTCCATCTGACATAAAACCAAAATACTTTAACTTTGATCAAACAGATAAAATGAAACAACACTTCTACTTTAGACAAACTTCTCCAAAACTCTTCATAATCCTAGCAAAAGACGAAACTTCATTTAGTAAAGTCACAATCTCAAAAGGTTTAAGTTACATTAAACACAACTTTCTGTTTTGATTTGAAGTGTTCCAGTCTCCAACAAATAAAAGTTTAAAAAAATAACTACCATCTGACAATAAGCCCATGCCAAGCAGGAGTAAGTCAAACCATACACATAATTGCTATTCAGTGAAATTACATTTCATTGTCCACGATAAGTTCACCCCGTGAATTGTAATTGATGTGTTGATCTCCCAAGCTTATCACGGCCAGAATACATTAAGTATCACCCAATTGAAAATACAGCATAAATGATACACGACTCATTAAAAAAGAGCCGTTTTAAAATATGTTACCTCAATAATGTTGAAAGCAAGCCAAGAGAATTTTTCTAGAAACAATCATCATAGCAAGACTGGGGTTCAAGTCATACACCCTTATACCAGGTGTGGATACATAAGTCCCACATATCGTAAGTCCCATATATCTAATTATGTCTATCATAATGACATTTTAACCTCAAGTCCATTCATATTTATACTGTACATAAGTCAGGCCCCATAATGACCGCTGAAACACTGAAATGTTTGCATCATAGGGTCAAGAGCTCAAATTCTAGAACAGCCATCATGTTTGTTTATAATGTCCACGACTTTGATGCAGCTTACAAAAATGTATTACATGATCATAGGAACCTTATCAGCATGCAATAGCCTTTGTTAATATTTAACAGTACAGACACTGATGGAGGTTGTAATACTGTACAAACAATATCGTTCATTAATATTTAACAGTACAGACACTGGTGGACAGGTTGTAATACTGATGTAATGCCAGGCCCTACCTCTGCGTTGGCAATCATTGAAGGCTCCAAACAAGTTTGATATTTTATGTATTTTAAATGACAAGCATTATCTAAAAATACATCCATGAAATAAAGGATTAGTTGTGCAAAATTCATCAGTAGAATTTATTAAATGTTACACTGACGATCTTGATAATCTACGGTTATCAGTGATTGGTATATCAAAGGTCAACAACAGTGGTCATCGTATAAGAATGGATGTGGCTTAAAAGCTGGATAAAATCATGAAAAATTGCTAAATCAGGAAATACAGTATATCTTTTACAGTGATAAGTGTTGTTAGGAAGAGTGAATACCAATGATAGGAAACAGGTTTTTCATTATTTTTTATCATGATTGTCTGCAACCTGGAAATATCAATAAGAGGTAGATGTCCTCATTCTCATGCAAATTTTATCATTGCTTGACAAATCTCTATAATCCTGGCCTTAGAGCCCTGAAGCACAAACAACATGGCTTTATAGAAAGAAGTATGTGATGCCTCACAAAGTAAAACCCATTGAAAATTATATCAACATACATATCTTATCATGGTATACAATGCTATGATAACTTGACAGGTTGTTTGATAAAACTTTACATACGCAATGCTGTCTCCACTTTGGGACAATGCACATGAACTTACACGTAACTCAACAATTACAAGTAACAATCCATGGTATGGATTGGCTAACTATGACAGCTTACCCGAGACATTTTTTTTTCTTTTACATCAGAAGACATTTGAATGTTTTAATCAATTAAATATGGGTCAAGGTCAATTTTTTCAAAAACATTGTTTGGCTCTATCTCCAGAACCCATCAGTCGTATATCATAATGAGGATTGGTTAAATAGAGGAAGTTGTTTGAAAAGTTTATCAAATTTGACATTATTGACCTTGAAATTAGGTTAAGGTAATTTTTTTTGACAAGTTTGTGAAGCTTCATCCAAGTATATGATCTGCCCAATATGATGACTGTTGGCATCTTAGTCATAGAGGACAAGTGGTTTAAAGGAAAAGTTCACCATGGATGAATGGATGCTGCACTAAAGCATAACCTCTTGCCCTTAGTTGGATTTTATTAGACTGTGTGTTTATTTTCGTGGTAAAAAAACATTTTATTTACACTTCCACACTTTATAAACCAGCATTAACATTATACACACTACTCATAAGATTCTGCTATCATTAAAAATGATATATGTACAAAATAAGCCTGCTGATAACTTCCAAATGAAATATTTATAAAACATTTTAAACAAAATGAGTAAAAACCATTGACCAGAATCTTTAACATATGATCGATATTTCTCATACAAATATAAACAGTGTCACATTGGCTATTGGGCTATGCCAAAAGTGTAAAAACTGAATGTGTTTTTATTTCAATTTATAACTCAAAGCAGGAACTGTAACTCAAATACAGGACCATTATACTTATAGATACCCCATAGATACAAACGACCAGGTCTCTGACCTCTTGCACAAGTATGTAAACAAATGTACTTATACTAAGCAAATAAAATAACACATAGAAGGAGGAAAATAAAAAAAGCAATGTTATGAAAATAAAACATATGTAAGGGCACAGGCCTGATAGATTTTTGTTTTTAATGAACAAGATGCATGATGGGACTATGTTTTGGCAGGTATATGGTAGGTTTTCACATGATACCTGATCAGTCTATATGTAACAGGACAAAGGATAGAAAGGGAATTGTAATGAAGTGTGGGCACAAAAAAACTAAGTAAATTACTTAAGAAATTGTGTTATTTAACTTTAAGTATATGACAAGAGATCCCAGAGGGATCTTGGTTCCCATCATTATTTGATCTTCATATGCTCTTTGAAAGTTGGATCTTTTCCCTTCTTTTCTCTTTTCTTTTCTGTATTTGCTCTTAATGGCAAGACATTTGAACATCCCCTTGCAGAAATAGCAATGATAATCTTAACCTGCCAAATCCAAAATGACTGTCTGGAAGCCATTTTGTTTCTTCTGATCAGTCCCAAAATCACATGGGCACAAGGAGAGACCAAAGGGAACATATACATGAAATTCGTGAAAGATCTAGAGAGTAGTTCTCAAGAAAAAGTGATAACAATTTTCAATGTAAAAATCAAAGACGGCTGCTTGCAGGCCTTTTTTCTGATCAGTGCCAAAATCAAACAGGCTCAACTAGGGATCAAGGGAAACATACACACAAAAATGAAAAAGATCTAGTGTAGTTCTCAAGAAATAGCGATATCAAACTTTCAAAGTCTAAATTGGAGATGGCCATCTGTCTGCCATTTTATTTCTATGATCAGTTCCAAAATCAAATGGGCACAACTAAGGATCAATTGGATACTACATAGGAAATTTGAAAGAGATCCATCCAGTACTTCTCCAGAAATAGTGATAACAAATGTTCAAAGTCAAAATCCAAGATGGCAGTCTGTTGGCCATTCTGTTTTACTGATCACAACCAAAATCAAAAGGACATATGGAAACCAAAAGGAACCCAAATATGAAATTTAAGAAAAATCCATCCTATACTTCTCAAAAAATACCTATAACAAACTTTCAAATCAAAATCCAAGATGGTTCCCTTTCAGCCATTCTGATTTCTTTATCAGACCCAAAATCAAATGGGCATAACTAGGGACCAAGGGAAACCTACATATGAAATTTAAAAAAGATACATCCAGTACTTCTCAAGAAAGAGTGATAACAAACTTGCAAAGTCAAAATTGAACATGGTCACCTGTCAGCCATTTTGTTTTTCTGATCTGTCCCAAAATTAAATGGACACAACTATGGATAAAGGGGAACCTACAAAGGCCATTAAAAATAAAATAGGATTATTTTTCAATCTTTTCTCTCGTAGGCAGTAGATTATACTGACATAATAGACATAAAATTTTTGAAATGGCAATCCATTTTTATAAAGCTTTGCATGCAGAGCTATAATTTGAGGTAAACCACTTCATAACGATACAATTTTTGCACAATAAATTTCATTTCAAGCATTTTTGTATGTAAACCGAAATTTCATAAACTTATATTATTTGTTATTTGTAGTTTTGCTTTGCATTCAATTAGCATAATATGAAGCCACAGTGAAAGCATATACACAACTTGGCACTTGCCGAGAGTCTTGTCCTACTTACAAGACAAATAACATGGGTTTAATGTGAAAAATCAAACATGTAAAGAAAACTACTGAAAATTTAGTCAATGTTGTAAGGTAAGATAATGGAATGAATATGAAATATTAAGGCATTTTATCTGGTGTGAAGCAAGACCTTAAAGGATCTGCTACATTGCACAGCATGCTGTCCAAATATGGTTATACATTTATGTTCATGCACACACAATGTTACTGGGCATTTTTAGGGACTGTCAATACACAGTATAGGTATCAAGTGTTGTGGTACTCATACATCTTATGAGTGTAGGATGTGGATGAAACGGAAGTAGAAGTTGTGTATGTAACCATCTAAATAAGGTAATTATATTAAGTCAACATTTAATTGTTACAAACAAACATTACTGAACTTTTAAATTCTAGTTAAAATCGTTTTATTCACAGGAAAAGTAGAAGATTTTAATGTCTTACATGTATCCATTTCTTTTCACATCCACATTGGACCCAGCCTCTCTAATTCCAGTGGGGTCGAAACACCCAAGCATTTCTATTTGAAAACCTACTTCAACCAAAGATTGGTTGAAATCAAATAATTAATACATCAAGTAGCAGTATGAAAGAAGACTAAAGAATAACCACTACTTTCCTTTTTGCTCCCTATGTCCCATACAGAGAGTCATCAGCTCCATTTCTACAACATTGAATCCCCTTTACCAATAGATGATTCAGGCCAAATTTGGGCAAATCTCAATAGACGTGACCAGTAAGAAGATGGAGAGGGTCCATGGACAGACAACAAATGGATTAGACATGTTACATTTTCTACTTTGACTTTTATTACATACTTACGTTTAAGAATGCTTGCAGCAGCCTCTAACTCTAATCCAGTTCGCTGTATGAACTGATAAAGGAGACGCTGCTGATCCATGATGCAGGGTTAGTTCACTTGAGATCCAAGGTTTCAAGGTAATTTGGTGTGAGATCTGGTGGTGTAATGTTGGTGGTACTGATTTTGCTACACGAATCTGAATCACTCTCCTTTGATATGATGGTCTGATCATTTTACACACAGCAAACCACAAGGACACAAACACTGTTCTGAAAACATACCCAAAAAAGCAAACTTATCAGTACAGTTAAGAAATACTTCAGGACAGTTTCAAATGGACTATACACGGACATCTTGTGAAGTAACACAGTATGATAAAAACAGTTTCAGATATGAACCTTGTATTTGTGCTACAAGGTATGTAAATATGGTACTATCAACTTGCTTTTTATGTCCGTATACAGGAAGCATAATAACTATAAGAGCTTAAGCCTGAGATAGCAGGTCTAGTTTAGTGATAAAAAGTTCATATTATCACACTTTCAATGGCCTTTTAAATTATAAAATCATTACATTTAAAATATAATTCAATGGAGAAATTGATGTTCTGATAAATATAGCTTACCTTCCCAAAGTATCCCCATATAACAATTACTTCTAATTTTTAATCTATTTTAAAGGGCATATTGTACAACATGAAATTTGATGTTAAGAATCTTTTGTCTTTTCGGTGGCTATATGTTGATAAACTGAGAAAATAAAATGCAATACTTCAAGTTGAAAGTAGTATATTTAGCAATGTAACAATATACATGCACATGATTTGTGCTTAAACAACAGAATTAAGTATACCCACCAATCATACAGAATATCACTGTCTCTATCCTTCCTACTCACCAATTTAAACTAGATATTTTGCATGACTTCTGTTTAAAAACATTTCTCTGATGTAAGTTTGTCTTCATCATGTGTATATACATTAAGTCACGATCTCAAGCTTTCCAGCATGACTCAGTCACCTATCAAAAACCTGCAACACTATTTAATTAGACCAACATTTGTTGAGGTCAAAGGTTCCAATTAGGCGTAGTAACACAAATATTTCTTTAAGGCTATGATAACACTATAGTCAGTGTAGCCTAACCCATCGACCCCAAAAAATTGTGCAGACTAAAAAACTATGCAAAATGAAACTGAAGCTTATTCTTATATGAAATATAGAACATCAGCTATTCTGGATGATTTTTCCGGTATCTCTCAAATGCTTGAACGAGGCTACCAGAGTGAATGTTCCAAGCACTCTAGTGAATTAGTGTTTTGGTGGCAGATACATGTTGACCTCATAAGCAACCTAGATTTAAGCATTCAATCTTGCTTTGTCTATTCCATGGGGTGATGAATGGAATTGCTCTTCTGACATATTTAATGAATATGAACTCATAAGCAGTTCATAATGAATTTGTGTCAAGAGCAACTCCATTTATCATCCCATGAAATTGACCGAAGCAAGATTCAATGCTTATATCCCAGTTCAGATTATTTTGATTAAATCTAAGTCTATTGTTACTATATTTTGCAAAGGCTAATGGATTGAGTAAATATATATATATTTTAGTACAGTATCGTTAAAATAAAGGATGATTAAAACAGTATTACTCAAGCGAAATATGATTATGCAACACATTAAAGTGTAAAACCACATACAAAGTGTTAAATGGTAAATGATTTTGTTGATACATTTTAGAAATAGTGAAAATTCTCTTGCAGCTATCTGAAAGAATAACATCTGTATTGAATTCTACCACTGTTTCCTGCTTCGCCTCAAAGTGGATGGCAGTCATTACCAAATTGTCACACAGTGTGTTGAGACCCTTCTAATGTATCCATGGCATCCAGAACTTATCAATAATTAGTCGTAAAGCAGTTATAAATGAAAATCGCTTTGTGGATGCTCTTGGTCTTGTTTTCCAACGTTTTCATTTACAGGCAGTGAAAGGTTAAAAACGGAATTGTTCAGATCACAGTATTAGCAAAGTCTCATGGAGATATCAAAATGTGAAAAACAAATCTGTTCTGATAAAAATTACTGCATCACATTTTGATCTATTTTACAATCGTTATTTTACACCATTATCTTTATAAATTTATGTTCTACAAATCTTTATTTAAAGTTTAGCAGCATACATGTATAAGAGTTCTCTTTCCTTACAGAATCTGTAAAGGATGTATTCATATGATCAAATCAAATTTAATATGATCAAATTTATGAACAAATGAAACAAGCTAACTTGAGCAGAAATTGAAATATAATGTAATGAGACTGAACTGAGAAACCTGAGTACATGTGTATGTGCATAATTCTTCTTCTCAAAACATATTGCACCTTCAAAACTCACATAATAAATTCATAAAAAAAATCTTGACCACCTGTATTTAATCATATTCAATAATATACCAATTATATAACAGCAGCATCCTTTATAAAACAAGAGGTCCAGCAAGCCTTAATAACCTGCCATCTGTTTTTCATCCAACAGCAATGAACATGAGTATGAGGGCAGCTTTTATATGCTTGGCTATTACACTGTTGATAGCTCTTAATCACACCTGTGTCCTCTTGCAAATGAATTATTTCGAAAAAGTTTCTTTGTATGGTTATGTTCAACTTATTTGACATCTGGTATTTCTGCCTAAACATACAGTTAAATATCAAGATTTTGGGCCTCTTGATCTTTAATTTTCTTTTCAATTTTTTATTTTCTTTTTAATCTTAACACATTTTTTTTTTCTCTCTGAAAATTAGTCAAGATTAATGATTAATTAATAGTAATATTACAAACCTTAAAAACCCTGTTTTGGGTTCCACTTCTCAGAAATCAAACTGCAGTATTTTCATTGTGACATTTCATTTCCTGACCAAAGATAATTCAAAGTTATTTGGATTGAAATGTTAACATTATTATCCAACTTTTCCCAAGTGGACATTGACCTTTCACTACCAGAAGACCACACCTACACTTTATTTAACATTAAATCACTTCATCAAGGTTGCTAATTTGGTTAAAGTTTCCTTATCAGTATATATAAGGAAGGGGATTTTCAATCTTTTGCATTTCCATCTTTGGGTTCCAGGACCCTCAGCTCTTGCTCTGTCTCAAGAGATTAACATTTTCCTTAGAACACTGCGATAACTTCACCAAAGGATACCTCATACCCAATTTGCACTCGCCTCACATACAACGTAGGTCATCCGTATATGACCGTACAGTTTTTAATAGAATGTTAAAATCAAACCAAACCCACATCCTCCATTTACATGTTGGAGTGGTAGCATCATCTTAAAGGGATAAAATGTCATGGATAAACTGCTCTTTGAAAAAAGTCATGACTAAACTTTTTATGTAGGCTTTTCATTAATCATTTGCATAATTAAAACATTCAGCTGTAAGTTTTTATCATTTTATAAATCACATGTGCACCCATTCTTTGAAACTACTATCACTGAACAGTCACCAATGCTCCTAAAAGGCAAGTTTGTTTGAAAGAAGATTCTCAGATGTGCAACCAAGTTAGTTCCATCAGAACAAGATCCCTCGCACCCTCAATGAATAGAAATTAGGTCTACCAACACTTGAGTTTAAAAGATTATGGACTAACATGACAGAAGCTTATAAAAATTTCTATACTGCATAATCAAAACACATGGAGAAATGATGAAAAAATATATACAAAAACAGATTTAGGACTGATATCAGTGGTCATGCATTCTGAAATAGAGTTGTAAACACATGGGATTCTCTACCAAACAATGTACTTGAGACACCTTTCCTTACCTGTTTTAAATCAAGACTAAATAAACATTCGTCTAAATACCCAAACAGCCTTTTATCCATTTTTAAGTACATACAAATTATTTTTTACCAATCCCAGTGTTACACCACGAAGTCCAAATGAAGAAGTATCAAGATGTGTCAATAAAACCCTGTATGCTTACAAGGACGTCAAGAACCATGAACCTTGATCTCTGTCTAATTACTCTTATTTTAACTCTTTGATGCTGAGTGTATACACCAGAAGTCTAAATAAATTAATTATCTTTAGATTATTGAGATGCTATATAATTTTCAAAATTAAGCATGCTTGTAATATTATCATTCTATTTTTTTCAAAAGACTTTAAAAGGCTTCATGTGCCAGATTTGAACTCATTTTGACAAATTTGTTGATATGGCTTTACCCTTAGCCTTTCAAAGTAACTTACTGCATGATGCATAACTTTCAAACCAGAACTGTTCACAAGCAAAAGTGTGGCAGATTCCCAGATAAGAGGCCTTAATGCAAAATATTATTCATGGCCCAGACATTACAGTATAATAATGATCTCTGCCAACTTTCATCATCAGCAATTCTTGCAAAGACTTCAATATGATATATGCGATACAAAACATCTTGCAGACAGTTACAAACGTGACTGGATGATAAGATTACAGTGCCAAATTTAACTTGAGGTTAGCAATGAGCCAAACATGGCCTGAACACACTACTGACAAACACAATTAAGTTTTGATAAACAACAACACCGCCTGTAGCCAGTCACAGTCGATGACTCATGCCAGTCATGCAAAGAAGAGAAATGTTGACAAACCGAAAAATGTCGACGTCATTTCGCACGCTTTAATGGTGATAATTTTACTGTTAAAATACTTACTTTTAAATCTATGGTATTAAAATTTTCCCATTTAGTTGCAAATTCCTTCTCATCAAGATATTGTCCTCTCTGCATCTTTTCTCTACAAAAGCGGAAGTATGTCAATGCACATGCGTCCAAATGACAGGCGCATTCGATAAAACGAATTGATATATTTCAATAAAATTTTTAAGCAAAACAGATATACGAAAAATTACAAAGGCTCTTGTGTATCATCTTTCAGTTTTATCATGTTACATATATCAACGTTTATTATTTCTTGAAATCCTAATTATATGAATTAGAATATATCTTCTGGGGACTTAACTTCCGCTTTTCACAACCTTTGACCTCTCTGCAAGTCGGAGCGAAGGTGAAACGAAGATATGTTTTGTTAAGTTAAAGTGAATTTCGTGTATGACAACCGTACTAGCATGCAGGCGTATGTTTATGTTCAATAATGGCTTGACTTTATGAAAATATGTGTGATCTATCGAATGGAGATTCCATCCCTGGATCCACTAGTGGGACCAGCCATATGCATGCTTGCCACTCAGAGTCCGAGAGAACAACTAACTTTGACGACACAGAATGTGAACAACTTCAGCAATTGATATTTGGTAATGCCAATAGGTGTAGTGTTTATGTATATCAAAATGTAACTGTATGTGCGGACTCTTGGTAAATTTTATGTCAATAACATTTTATTTAAATATTCTTCAGTATATTGCTTTGTAGTCCGCAGGGTTCTGACTCTCAATCCTAGATTTTATTTTTATTTTCGTTGCATCCGATTGTCAGAATTCCTCCCTGTATAAAAACACCAAATTCTCATGAGTAATGTTTCGTATAATTTAAAACAGCGAAAGATGAATAATTGTGCTACCAACTGGCATATGTGTCAAAGCAATTAAATGTTATAAACCAAAGTATTTCCACTCAATTTTCCCAACAACTTTACTTTCCAGCTTATTTATAATGACCACCATCATGCAGATTCTCTCTAGACATGTGGTTGCAATCTACTATTAATGCCAATCTTGCAAAGTTTACTTTTTGGTAGGTTTTTCTGTCACAACTCTAGAGAGATTCTACATGGTGATGACCATTGCCAAATGTCTAACAAGTTACATAAGTTTTCATTAATCAGTGCGACCTGGCTGACTTGTGTAGACTTGGAATTCATTGACTCATATTTATTCAACTAGTGAACATAAATGTTAAGATTCAGATAAAAAGTATTTTAATGGTTGTTTTATCAACATTTTCAGATCTTATCCGAGGGATAGAGGATCCAGAAAAGCCGTCAAATCTAGAAGACTTGGATGTGGTTAATGAACAGGATGTGTTCGTAAAGAAATGTGGAGAGGAAGAGTTCTTTGTCCGTATAGAATTCATTCCTACTGTTCCCCACTGCTCTCTGGCTCCTCTCATAGGTAAAGGTCCTAAGGCAGCAATAAAGGCACCCACTACCTTATCTGCAAACAGATACCCAATTAGGAATTAGAAAAAATAAATATACTACTAGCTGGTTTACTTTTTTTTCAAATTGGTTCATTTTAGTGTTTTAGCACTTCAGTAATTTTCTGTTAAGTAACAAATTATGCCTATGTTGTTGTTTGTAGGTCTGTGTATCCGGTCAAAACTGCAAAGATCACTGACAGAGAAATATAAGGTAATTCATTACATCAGAATTCAATATGATGTCATGTACTTAAAATGATGAAAGTAAGTGAGTTATCTCCCTTCTCACAGAAAGTTTCTTCATCTGGCAGACCTGCTGTAGATAAAGTATTCAAACAGACTTATCACAAAATTACTAAGCATGGAATGGTTGCCAAATAGAATAATGCAGAAAGTTATTTTGTGATTTCATAACCTTTGAAGATGATGATCTCTCTTTTTTTTCTGATTTTTGTTTATTTAATTTAGATTCAGAACATTGATGAGGTTGCAAACAACAACTATGTGGTTCTTATTTAATGTAGAAAATACAGGTTCTTTCTTGACAATTTGTGTTTTCCAGTTGGATATTTTCATAAAGAAAGGCACACATTCCACAGCAGATGAAAGTAAGTTACTGTTTTGAGAAGGAATCTTACTTTAAAGATATAGAATACAAGGTAGACAAAATTACCATAGCACACCTAAAAATCTGAAAATGATAAGCACTGAACATCTGTCCTAATTTGACCTAAATGGGAGTCCATTTAATGTGATGTTCAAATTAAGTTGATTATGACTTACTTGTCAAAAATTAAGTTCACTGTTATGATATGATATGATATGTTATGATAGATGAACGAAGTTTAGACCTAAGTTTTTCAAAAACAAATAGCATGTCTTTGTCATTTAATTTCAACAATGACATTGATACCAATAATCATGCTGTTGTATTTACATTTAGATATAAATATGTACATTGTATTTTAAAATGAAATCAAAGCTTCATAAATTTCATAAAAAAAACCACAAAAATCATGCAGATGTGTTACTGTGTATATCTCTGTAGGTCCTGGGTATCATGTCAAATCTTTCTCATTAACATGTAGCACTTTGGTACACTGTTTATCTCTGTAGGTCTGAGGGACTAGGTTAAATCCTCATCAGTGAATATGTAGATTTGTGGTTCACTGTATATCTGTAGGTCTGAGAGATTACCATTAGGTTAAATCCACATCAGTGAACATGTAGATTTGTGGTACACTGTATATCTCGGTAGGTCAGGGATTACCATTAAGTTAAATCCCCATCAGTGAACATGTAGATTTGTGGGACACTGTATATCTCTGTAGGTCTGAGGGACTACCATTAGGTTAAATCCCCATCAGTAAACATGTAGATTTGTGGTACACTGTATATCTCGGTAGGTCAGGGATTACCATTAGGTTAAATCCTCATCAGTGAACATGTAGATGTGGTATACTGTATATCTCTGTAGGTCTGAGGGATTAGGTTAAATCCTCATCAGTGAACATGTAGATGTGGTACACTATATATCTCTGTAGGTCTGAGGGATTAGGTTAAATCCTCATCAGTGAACATGTAGATGTGGTACACTATATAACTCTGTAGGTCTGAGGGATTAGGTTAAATCCTCATCAGTGAACATGTAGATGTGGTACACTATATATCTCTGTAGGTCTGAGGGATTAGGTTAAATCCTCATCAGTGAACATGTAGATGTGGTACACTATATATCTCTGTAGGTCTGAGGGATTACCATTAGGTTAAATCCTCATCAGTGAACATGTAGATGTGGTACACTGTATATCTCTGTAGGTCTGAGGGATTAGGTTAAATCCTCATCAGAGAACATGTAGATGTGGTACACTATATATCTCTGTAGGTCTGAGGGACATGTAGATGTGGTACACTATATATCTCTGTAGGTCTGAGGGACTACCATTAGGTTAAATCCTCATCAGTGAACATGTAGATGTGGTACACTATATAACTCTGTAGGTCTGAGGGATTAGGTTAAATCCTCATCAGTGAACATGTAGATGTGGTACACTATATATCTCTGTAGGTCTGAGGGATTAGGTTAAATCCTCATCAGTGAACATGTAGATGTGGTACACTATATATCTCTGTAGGTCTGAGGGATTAGGTTAAATCCTCATCAGTGAACATGTAGATGTGGTACACTATATATCTCTGTAGGTCTGAGGGACTACCATTAGGTTAAATCCCCATCAGTAAACATGTAGATTTGTGGGACACTGTATATCTCTGTAGGTCTGAGGGATTAGGTTAAATCCTCATCAGTGAACATGTAGATGTGGTACACTATATATCTCTGTAGGTCTGAGGGACTACCATTAGGTTAAATCCCCATCAGTAAACATGTAGATTTGTGGGACACTGTATATCTCGGTAGGTCTGAGGGATTACCATTAGGTTAAATCCCCATCAGTAAACATGTAGATTTGTGGGACACTATATATCTCGGTAGGTCTGAAGGATTACCATTAGGTTAAATCCTCATCAGTGAACATGTAGATGTGGTACACTATATATCTCTGTAGGTCTGAGGGACTACCATTAGGTTAAATCCTCATCAGTAAACATGTAGATTTGTGGGACACTATATATCTCGGTAGGTCTGAGGGATTACCATTAGGTTAAATCCTCATCAGTGAACATGTAGATTTGTGGGACACTGTATATCTCGGTAGGTCTGAGGGATTACCATTAGGTTAAATCCCCATCAGTAAACATGTAGATTTGTGGGACACTGTATATCTCGGTAGGTCTGAGGGATTACCATTAGGTTAAATCCCCATCAGTAAACATGTAGATTTGTGGGACACTGTATATCTCGGTAGGTCTGAGGGATTACCATTAGGTTAAATCCCCATCAAATACACGATACATACCCAGAGTTACTAGGTTTAAACTTCAGAGGTAAACAGTTTTTGTGAGATACTCTGTATTTCTATCGTTGCTAGCTAGGTTACATTCCCAATGGCATGATACATTCTCTTGTCTTCTTTGCTAGGGAGACTAAAAATTGTAGACATGTTGATGTGGTATTGTATATGTATGATAAAGCATGCAGTTTACATTCCACAGTTGTATAAATCCCTCTTATCAAAATGATGTCTGCAAGACAGGTTAGATCCCCCAAAAGGAATAATAATTTGAAGTATATAATTAATTTGATATTACAGTAAACAAGCAGATTAATGACAAAGAGAGGATAGCGGCTGCGATGGAGAATCCCAACCTGCGTAAACTGGTGGAGAAGTGTCTGGAGGAGAACTACTGATCTTCAGCTTGTATAGACAGACCAATTTCCTGGAGATATCCCTGTTCCATACCTGTATATTATCAGACCAGACACCTCCTTGGCGACATCCCTCTTTCTACCTGTATATGAACATATAAAAACCCACCTCCCTCGAGATATTCCTGTTATATATGAGTACAATAACTTACTAGACACTTTGTGCATCAACAGTCTAGACACTTTCCTTGCGACATCCCTGTTTTTATCTGTGTATGAACAGACAAGACACCTCCCTGGAGACATCCCTGTTCCATACCTGTGTATGAACAGACAAGACATCTCCCTCGAGACATCCCTGTTCCATACCTGTGTATGAACAGACAAGACACCTCCCTGGAGACATCCCTGTTCCATACCTGTGTATGAACAGACAAGACACCTCCCTGGAGACATCCCTGTTCCATACCTGTGTATGAACAGACAAGACATCTCCCTCATCCCTGTTCCATACCTGTGTATGAACAGACAAGACATCCCTCCCTGTTCCATACCTGTGTATGAACAGACAAGACATCCCTGTTCCATACCTGTGTATGAACAGACAAGACATCTCCCTCGAGACATCCCTGTTCCATACCTGTGTATGAACAGACAAGACATCTCCCTCGAGACATCCCTGTTCCATACCTGTGTATGAACAGACAAGACATCTCCCTCGAGACATCCCTGTTCCATACTTGTGTATGAACAGACAAAACATCTCCCTCGAGACATCCCTGTTCCATACCTGTGTATGAACAGACAAGACATCTCCTGTCCCTGTTCCATATGACCACACTAAAAATTTTGTGTTTTAACAGACAAGACATAAAGCTCCATTCCACAGTTGTATAAATCCCTCTTATCAAAATGATGTCTGCAAGACAGGTTAGATCCCCCAAAAGGAATAATAATTTGAAGTATATAATTAATTTGATCAGTAAACAAGCAGATTAATGACCTGTGTCCCATGAAACTGGTGGAGAAGTGTCTGGAGGAGACATCTCCAGCTTGTATAGACATTTCCCCCTGTTCCATACCTGTATATTATCAGACCAGACACCTCCTTGACATCCCTCTTTCTACCTGTATATGAACTATAAAAACCCACCTCCCTCGGATATTCCTGTTATATATGAGTACAATAACTTACTAGACACTTTGTGCATCAACAGTACCTTTCCTTGTCCCTGTTTTTATCTGTGTATGAACAGACAAGACACCTCCCTGGAGACATCCCTGTTCCATACCTGTGTATGAACAGACAAGACATCTCCCTCGAGACATCCCTGTTCCATACCTGTGTATGAACAGACAAGACACCTCCCTGGAGACATCCCTGTTCCATACCTGTGTATGAACAGACAAGACACCTCCCTGGAGACATCCCTGTTCCATACCTGTGTATGAACAGACAAGACATCTCCCTCGAGACATCCCTGTTCCATATGAGTACAATAACACACTAAAAATTTTGTGTTTTAACAGTCGGGACACTTTCCTGGAGACATCCCTGTTTCCTAAATGTGTGTGAAGAGACTAGACCTTTCCCTAGAGATATCACAGGTCTATACATGTCTATTCACAGACCACACCCCTTCCTGGTCCATATCTGTGTATTAACAGATTAGACACAGCCCTAGAAACATCCAAGGTCTGTACCATTGTATTAATTGTCTAAAACCCTCCCTTGAGACATCCCTGATTCATACCTGTGTGTAGCAATTAAGACATCTCCATGGAAACATTGCAAGATATAAATCAACTACAAATATGGACAGCCTGGACACTTTCCTGTGTACATGTCACAAGATAAGACAGCTTCCTAGAGACATGCCAGGATAACTCTCCACCTAAGGTTATGGATACAAGGACTGTCAGGACACTTTACTGAATATATCTCAGGTGATAAGACAGCTCTTTTGAGACATCCCAGGGTAACTCTCTACTTAGGATATGGACATGAGGACTGTCAGGACGCTTTACGGAATATGTCTGAGGTAATAAGACAGCTCCTTTGAGACATCCCAGGATAACTCTCTACTTTAAGATATAGACATGAGGACTGTAAGGACACTTTCCTGCATATGTCTCAGGTGATAAGACAGCTCCTTTGAGACATCCCAGGATAAATCTCTACTTTAAGATATAGACATGAGGACGGTCAGGACACTTCTCTGAAGACTGCCCTGGGTGACTAGGGACCTTTCTGTGATATAGTTATTATAACTGCTTTAAGAAATCTTGTTACAATACTGCTACCAGATACCTATATGTACCAGGTTTATATTCACATCATTGTGAAGGTGAACTTAAAGTAGCTATATCCATAGATCTCCTGTGGGTGATGGACATTTATAGTCTGTAAAAGAACAGATGTTGTCGACGGGAAGAACATGTTTGATACAGCGACAGCATTGTCGATGATGTAGCTTGAAAATATAATTAGGAGAGGATACTTTGCTTCACATTTTGTTGGCTATGCCAATATGAAGGGCTGGCCTGTATACTACCTATATTTAATTAATGTTACTTTTGTATGGCGGATAGTGTTACCATTGTTCATCATTCCTTCAATCCATCTATCAGTTTAATTTTGTTTCTGTCCGTTTAATCTTGAATGGGCACAGATATAGAACTGTAATTTTGTAATTGGTGATATAATATGCAGGTCTAGTTCTGATTTGGTTATGTTCAATTAAATATTTAATATGGCCATTTATAAGAATTTTAATTAAAATTTTCATGAAAATAATGCCTAACTCTAAGAGGATTTTTTTTTTAAAATCTGCTGGCAGAACTTGTCAATTCTATTTCAAATGTGTTATTATCAGCCCTGCAGACAGGAATTTTTACTTCACCAGCCATGAGTCCACCTTTGATAAGCAGTAAAATTTCTTAATTTTTCTTTGGTTGCCAGTAGGTGTCCTCGATAGTTTTAATATTTGGAAAGACTAGGTATTGAGATCTGTATATAAAATAGTGGGAGAGATATTTTGCAGAATGAGTGGTCTGCATAGTTATTAAGTGCTATCTTTAATTTGAATGTATGTGAAACCATGTTTGATGTCCATGCATGAAAGTTCATAGGTCGGACATATATTGGATGAACAAAGACATAATATCACATAATTGTGAAAACTTTTCAAATGCTACATAAAAAAGAAACCTGTATAATATATTTAGTAAGACGGGTCAGACCCAGTTTATTAGAAATTATAACACTGGTCTTCTTCTTAATGAAATATTTGAAAAGTTTAAACAGCTATGGAGACACATACCATATTTATATTTAAAACATAAAACATTTTTAACATATTTAAAAGCCCAAGGCCAGGTCATGTGTACTGATTGCATGTAGTTTTTATGATTGATTGTATATATGTAATGAATTGTTCCACTTCGACAAGCATTTGAAAATCTGATAGAGGTATGACTCATTAAGATGTACATATGTATTGTGTTGGCTGACAGTTAAACAGGTAACAGGTAAACATTAGTAAACTTGCTTAATTATTAAAATCTTTCATGATAATTCTTTACCTGGTTACATGATCTCATGCCAACTTCTACCTTCATTCATTTAATTAAACCTGTTTTTCCTTTGAAATACATTTACATCTGTTTTTATTCATAATTTTACCTGTAAACTGTAAGTGAACCTTGTCTGTTACATCTATTTTCCTGTAATTTTATTATTTTTGGTTGGGTGTTTTTGGTTTTTTTTTCTAAAATAAACTCATTGGCATGTGTTGTAAAAACTAAGTATTATGTCAGAAATGCACAAGGTAAAGCAAATGGCTTGTTTAAAGTTTTGATAAATTAATGACTACGTAAACACTTTGAATACCTATATTGTGTATTAATAATATTTCCCAACATGGACAGATGGTATTTGCAGTATTAAAAGGAAAGTCAAAATAGCTGTGTGATTATGTGGGAATCGGTATTAGGTGCTGGTGACCTAGAAACCTTCTTTGGGTAATTAACGTTATTTGACCTAGAAACCTTCTTTGGGTAATTGAAGTTATTTGACACATTAGTTCCAATTGATAGAAATAAATAAACTGTTTTACTTTGTTTTACAGGAATCTTTGAGTTTAAATGTGTGAGGTACATCAATAATTCAGGATAAAGCTGATTTATATAAGAGTTAGCTCCCTTGGTTACACAATGAATTATCAAGATAATTTGTGTCATAGTCTTGTTTTCATTACAATCATAATGATACAAAAGTGAAAGATGTACACATTCATTATTAAGAAACTGGAGGATTGCTAATCATGGTACAAGCATGAATCTTTTGTTGGAGTTGCTAAGTGATACCTTGTAATGACCAGGAGTTTTCTGGATAGCTGGATTGGCCATTTTCTTTTCCCAATCATTCCCAAAATAAAGAATGCACTTTCTTTAAATGATTGAAGAAACCTACATGTGAAATCTCAAGATTGATCCATTAACTGTCAAAATCCAAGATGGTTTTTGTCAGCCATTGTGTTTTCCTGACCAATCTCAAAACCAATTACTACATATGGAATCTTTAAAGCGATAAATCCAAAATTCAAGCCGGCCATCTTTTGACCATGCAGTTTTACTGATGACGACTAAAATTGAAAGTGCACAACTAGGAACCAAGAAGAACCTGCAAATGAAATACTTTGGATTACTTTGAGACTGATCCATCTGGAGCTTCTCAAGAAATGGCAAAAGTAAGGATTGTTAAAGGATCGGTGAAGGGAGATTTGAACAACCCAACCATCTGATGATGGTTGACTAATAAATTTGTATTGATGGAGTGATATGACCAAATATATACACGATGAAAACATATTTACAACTAGTAATACAGTTTAATTTGAAAATATTTTAATCAATATTGACATGGTAAAATATTGCTTGGTAAAAATTTACAAAGAATGACATTCTACACATGATTCAATAAGCAACACATCCGAAACCGGTACATGGATTTTAAAGTCTTGGCTTCAACTCTTTATTGACTTGGCAACAAAATTGAGAATTTAAGACCTGCTTCACCAATTGTAAGATGTACCGATTCCTGACATGACTATAAGGCAATTTAACAGATAAAACAAACCTTGAAAATCTAAATTCTTTTTAAATTAAGTAAGTTTTACAACTGATTTCACTTTCAAGCTTAGTACTCTTCATGGTTTTGAAAGAATGAATATTACTGGGTGGCTTTAATACCAAATCCGAAATTTCTTTTAACTCTGGTTCCAGAAGAGCAATGCAGTTAAGATATCACATTTGTATGTATCTGGATTTCTCACAATCATCCTTCCTGTCTTCCAATGCCATTGCCTCATTCTACAATGTATATCTCTTTACAAAAAAAAACAAAAACAAAATCTATAAGACACTTTTTGGTTTTGACGGGTACATTTTAGTTCATTTTATAATAAAGTTTCTGATATCTACACGCTGTTGATGTATTTATTTTCTTATAGATGAATCAAGGTGCAATGTTAAGATAAGTAGTTCACAATAAATACACTTATATATGCAGGGTAAATGATTTATGATAATCCTACAAATTAAACAAAAGTTGAAATCTGAAGTGTGCTGGACACCAACAGTGATAGAAGTTCTGGTTTTAATATACAGGTATTCACGATATTGTTCTTTTCAGTAGACAACACAATGTACTTTGAAGACTGTACATGATATACAATTTCATACAGTCATAGATTCCCAATATGTTGTCCAACATTACTATTCACATAAAACATAAGTCTCTGGAAAGTCCCCTTTAATCAGTAGTCGACAAGAATATGACTTTTTAGGTCCTGCGGCATGCAATCATAATGAATTTCTTACCATACCATACAAAACATGGATGTTTGATTTTGATCCATTGTTTAAGAAAGAAAAAAAATTAAATTAAATGTAAAACAAGAAACATAGACAAATTTTAACGATACAGATTTTATTTTTTGCCATATAGGTTTTTAACATGAATCCATTTTTTATGACAGATTTTCTGCGTCTCTCGAAACGTGATATTTTTGTCATACAGGTGTGGTGCATCAGTAACCTGACAAAATGCCAATAGTATACTGGTACCATTTTGACCTTACAGCAGTTTCAAAATTTACCATGTATGTAAATCATCTATATAAAATTACCTCTTTTATATACAAATATCACAGAACGAAAGCATTGAATGTTGAGCCACCATCAAAAATCTGACAACAATGGATATTTTTTCTATTAAATAACATTGACAAATATATTTTTAGACCTATTCATGAATAACTAGGTTTAAAAATAAAATTACAAAATTTCAACAGCAAATTGACACATTTGTGTACCAATAAATTTAAATGTGAATGTGAACATGTTTTAACTTTCATGAAATAATCAGAGTAAGATATAAAAATAATGTAAATATTGTTATGATCTAAAATATATAGACCTATGTTTCACAATAACAACAACCTGTGGTATACATCAAAAGGGCCAATGTCAACACAGCAGTATTTACCTTCTGCATTACCCCTGTTATAAGCAACTAATTATTAAATACTTAATTAACTGTACTATAATAATGCAATATAAAAAGATAGATAAAAGCTTCAATGTTTTTTTAAATATCTATTTATGGTGCTTTTTTTTCTAGTTAAGGCAGATGCACTTTACATGCAATATGTTGAGAAAAAAGGGCATTAGCATACTGGAGACACAGGCCCTGTGTTTAATCTCTACGGTATGTACAGTTGTAGATGTCTAATGGCCATGCTAAACGTTATAGTACAAACTGCTAACAACACTATGTATCATCATGTCAACTTAAGGACATACTACACTGTATATATAGGCCTATTTCTATACATTCCTTGTCACATCATTTTCAAGCATCTATATACAGGGATGTATAAATTTTCTTTGCTTTAACGAAGCATGCCTTAAACTAAAATATTCAAGAATGATTAAATTCATTAAAAATTATCTAAAACCTTTAGAATATGTAAATTTTAAACAGTAGGCAGTAAACATGTTTACACATCAATCTCTTCAATGAAAATAGATTGACTGAACTTTCATTTATTGGCTTCCAACCCAAATGAATACCTTTCCTTGATACAACTTTAACAGCACAATCTGAACGTTTTTCAACTTCCAAACCCGAGAAGTAATGCTGAACACAAAAACATACATTTTTAATGAAACTCTCACATACATCTGCTTATCCTTTAACGTTATCCTTACTCTGTATTTACACATCTCAACAAGACATTTTAACATTTCAGCTAAAATATGGTACAGACATTTATCAAAACAGTGTATTTACAGGTGTAACTGTCACCACAACTATCAGCTTTGTAAGCACGTCTGATGTATTATGCTGACTGTCACTTCGGCTAGTGTGATGACGTCAATATCTAATATCATACAGCTATCTTTCATGTATAATTGCTTGAAATCTGGTGAAGATTGCATTTGTTGCATGAAGCTAATTGTTGAAATGTTTTTTTTGTCTTTCCTTCAAGGACAGCTATGCATGCACACTACAGGACAATAATCTTGATACATTTATCATTTGTTAGACACTGCTACATATGAATTAATGCATGAAATGTAATAAATCTCATCACTTTTGAATCAGTACCATTTGAAAAGGCACAAATTGGACGAGAATTTAACCAGTAGCCTTTACATGTACATTAATTGTCCTGCAAAGGAGCTGGTGGGCAAAAATTACAGGCTGATGAAAATGAATCTGATGTCAGTTATTATCAGATGTTTTGTAAGTTATATACAGTAGCAAACTTTTTGTGCCTGGAGTTTTGGACCTCAGCAAACTTTTCCTTTTGTATCTGTATTGGTACTGAGATGATCACAAGACTTCATTGTTCACACATAATCAAACTCGCTGATAAAAGACATGTTGTCTTCCATTGAAATCTGTTATTTTCAACTAGTTATCTTTTGATTTGCTTTTTAAGAGGCAAATTTGCTGTTCATGGATTTCTGATAAGCTTAAGCTAAAAGTGGAACATAGTACAGATAAAAAGTATCACATTATCATATCCAATCAACATCTCATTTTATACTGAAAATCTATGACCTGCTAATTGTAAGACAACCACAATAATGCAGGATACCAGGACTTACTACCCATTAGGAAATCAATTCTAACACTGATTCCTGATATAGAAAAACAATGTACTGAATGTACAATGTAACTAACTCAGTTAATTTGGATATATTTTAAGTCAATACAGTTAAAGTCACAGAAAATGAATATTTATTTGTCTTGCAAAGTGTAGCATTCACAGAAACATTGTCAGTAAACTGTCCCAAACTTTAACCACAGAATATTACCACCACACAGTAGAATATTACAATAGAATGTTTTTGTGTAGGTATTATCATAGTTATCCTAGCAGGTGAATCACAAAATGATAAAACTTGCGAAGTTTTTAATGAATTAACATTATTGCTCTGTAGCATTGTATATTTCTTCAGTAAAAATAGCATTGCACCAAAGTCACTACTAATACATTAGTCTCAATAATTTCAATAGGTATAGAATTGCTCAGTCCTACTAGTTCTAATCTGTAAAACAGTATATCATGATGGCTTAATCTCGAGATCATCACCAAAGATAATGACAGTCACAGGAAAAAAGGAAAGAATTGTGTATCTATTCCGGCAACGAAATGGACAACATTTGCATATAATCTATAATAGATCTTCATGTTTATTGGTAGAATACAAAACTGAACTATTATCAATACAAACACATTAACATTAAGATTTTTAAATAATACGGTGATGATGAATATGAAGAATGATAATAAACATGATGAGTTTGAAGACCCTTTCACTCTGGATCAGCTGTGTCAAGTACACAAGAACACATTACATACAGTTATATGCATGTTGATCTCAACAAATCAATCGATATACGACTCGATGTATGAGCCAGTTCGTGTCTCTGAACACCCTGCAAAGTCATCAACAATCCCAGAAGTAAAATCGTCCCCGTCACTGTCTATCTTACTTTCTATTGCACTCTTTTTCTTGATGCTTCGTCGCTTCTCATTCTTGATGTAACGGTCACCACCACCGTGGAAGCTGCCATAGCTACTGCCACTTCCTTTACGTGCTAGGCGTGACTTAGCTGTATCATTCTGTACTCCAATTACCTTGGTAACAGACACTTTGGACTCAATGTCATAAAATAGAGCTAAGTTCTGAGATTCTAAAAATGATGGAAGGGATTCCATGTGACTTTCCAGTGGACTGACTGCACATGATTTGTTTGGAAGGGATTCAGAGCTATTATAGCCGAAACTAAGGTCAGGTTCAAGGTCATGAACTGAAAGAGGTCGTGAACCTTCTCGTTTCCATGGCAATGTTTCATCATTCCATCGGACAAGGTACTTGACACAGAGCCCTATGCACAGGTCCTGAAGCGGTGTCTTTGTGTCGTGTTTGAAATAGTACTGATGACCAGTGCTGTTCATAATGATGTGGTCAATGTCCAGGAAGTCTCGCGCTGCCCACTTGATGCGCTGACCCCACGTCTCTTCACCATCATAGTAGTACAGCTTCAAGTCAAACTTGTCTGAAAAGGTGAAAACCACTTGATAAAATATAGTCTTTACTAACAGAGCCTTACGGGTACCAGTTTAAAACAATAAAAAAAATACATGTCCTATGAAAAAAAGATGGTGTTTCTCGATATTTGTTTAACTAAAAGATTTTGTTATTTTTAACATTTCAAATATATAAAGGCTATTAATATAAGGTCATGCACATGTTAAATAGAAGGTCATGCACATGTGTTTCCATAATGAATTATGCCATTAAGAGATGTATGAATGAATATGTATAGAATGGATAAGTGACAACTGTGTGGTACATTGGATGTGTTAAAAAGATGTACTAAACCATTAAGAATACACAATTCATCATTGCTAACACGACTGTTAATTACATCTTTTTTATATCCTCTTCATTTACATTTACCATGACTATATAATGTACAATGCTAATGAAGGTCACTTGGCTGATATCTTAATTCTGAATGAAAAAGATTAATCGTAAATGTCAAAATGAAAATTATTTCATCAACAATAATCTTTTCTTGTTTTTGATTTCAAAAAGTTGGTTCATTAGTCTAGCTAGTATTTAACAAAAACTTATTAAGTGGTATGTACAAGAAAAAACTGTTAAGCATTTAATAACACAGGACCCCATTCCCCAATTTTTTGGGTCTCAGAAATTGACAGAAGGTAAAAGGTCAGTTTGATTTCCTGTGTTTGTTCAAATGGCAGAGTTACCAATCATACTGGTATTTGCCTTTTTTCATTTTTAGGAAAAGCATGTGCCTGCAGGTACATCTAATTTGTCAGGATGTGTAAATGCAGTATATGCACCTGTGCAATTTAAACAATGTGTACCACCTGAACCACCATATCACACACTGTATATTGCCTTAATCACTGCCCCCTAAGTCTATCGGTACACGTCAGGAAGCAGGTGATTCAGCACCTGACAAACAAAATGGCCATCCAAACAGTACACACAGCTAGAATTACCCCCGTTTTTGTTGACATAATATATATATATATATATATATATGACAACCTCCTGTCCACTCTGCATGGTGTCCTTTGTCAATCAACTCAGGTAGATTATCATAGCTAGGTGGATGGTCAATCATATCAAATTACTGCCCCAGGATTAGGATGTGTAAAGGTTTAAACCAGGAAATAGGTGATTCAGAACTCTGGCATGTTGCTGCCGTAATCAACACAATGACCATCCTATACCAGTGCTGGGCACTTACGTTACCACATGCTTGCGGTCACTACCTTTGTCCAAACTGGTCAATTATTTTACAACAGGTGACTGGGAAATAACCTTAACATAAGTGGTTCTTGAGTAGCTTTAACAAGGGTACATTTACAGTGAATCATTATATAACAGCTCAATTTTACAATGTAACTTAAAAGTTTGTTATAAATGGTAGGGTTAAAAATAGACTACAACACCTGGAACTATATCTATGTACCTGTAACGTGACACAGACAATAGAGTTAACCATCTGTTGTTGTTTACCGGTAAATGAAAGATTAAACACCCAATTTTCTACAGGTATAGCATAAGGTATTAATGATACAGGTAAATGTCAGGAAATTTTCATGTACAGGTGAATGTCTTAGGTTGTATGGAATAGTTTGGTGTTTCTTGGAAGATATATATAAATATTGCTATCCACAGTGTCATTGTTTGATAACTTACAACAATCTAAACAAAAGGACCACCTGATCCCAGGTTCATTAAACAATCTTAAGTCTGAAACTGATACCGCCAACAGTGGACAACATCAAGAAAAGAGACATCATTTGTGATCGGCTAACAAAACTGTACATTATGTATGCAGTTACTTTTTAGGTCTAAGAGCCAAGAAATCAATCTCAGAATGTTCTGCTAACATGTCAGATGAATGATATTAAGTCCAAAATCTGAAAGTCTTTTCTTCAAAGTTTGTTTTCATATCATTTAATGAGTTTTAATTTACCTTCTCTTCACAGGATCCAGTAACAAAACTCAAAATAACCATAAACCATCAAAACTAGAATCTGATCAGGGATAGAATTTGATGTTATGATACCATGAGGTAAATAACAACTGAAAGTATTGAGAGATTCTCAATTAAGATATATGACAATGATTCAGAACAGGAAGGGATAGTAGGACTATTTAAAGACAAAACTGAACATGAATTTATTCAGTATATTAAAATCAAGTTTGTTTCACTGATCACTTCTGATCTATTTTAACCAGGATAGACCTCGGAGGGTTGTTTATCATAATACTAACCAGGACTTCTCCACTTGGTTGAACATAGGCAGAATGGACCCTCTGGACATATGACCAAAATCGACAGCTTCAAGTGTCTCTGGTTCACTGATCCCTGTCAAAATAAAACCAATTCCATCAACACTGAGGTCAGGGAAAGGTCAAATATACACAAACATAGCCCCGGGGAAATAAATAATACTCAGAACAGGTTGTTGTACCCTGAAACAAAAATTACTGACTGAAAAGAAATTGTTAAAGTTAATAATGAGACACCTATCTACTATACAGATCTACAGAGATTGAAGTTCATTGATTGTGAGATAATTAAATTGTATACATCATGTAACCCATACAGATATTATATATTATTATCGTATACACTGTTTTTATCCTACAAAAAACATCGGGGATCAACACTTTGCCTCTGACTTTATAATCAGTGGATGGGCCTTATTTGTCCATACATGTAATACTGCTGAATGGGCTTATTACCAGACAGGGCTTATTGCATGACATTTAGGAAATGTATCAAAATTTGATAATTACTGTATATTTAGCTGGGTCATTCTGTACAAATGTATGTAAGAATAGACAATAATGTATAAATGAATTGTTATTGTATTTTGGTAACTCCATACAAAGGTATATATGAATGGTCATTGTGTCGCCTTAGTAACTCTGCACAACTGGATATCAGTTATCTGAGGTGTTTTTGGACTATGTAGTTTTAGAGAGTAAAAGGATGGCAGATTTCATTGGTATGGTTTTTATGTATTTCAGAGGAAAATGTCGGATGGGGTGACAGTCATCACATGGCTGCACATGTGAGTTAACTATATATATATGTGCATAATTATGTTTTATCCTGTTGCAATCATGGTGTAGATAACAAGTAATGTGCAATCACTATTTACAGTAATGTACTAGTCCTAAAAATTTAAAAAGCTTTTTATTCACCTGCAAAATTTCATGATATCCATTTCCAGTTTGTGTCATCAAAACGATCGTTTTTTTTGAGAAAAATATGAATGATAAGGAATATATAATGGTAATTAATTTACATATGACATCCTTCACTAGTGTGGAGCAACATGTTACGTCAGACTCAAAAATCTGTGGAAGGCCTTATTTGTCAGCACAGGTAATATACTTCTAAACGGGTTTATTACCAGACAGGGCTTATTGCAAGACATTTATAAAACGTATCAAAATTTGATGGTCACTGAATACAAATGTATAAATGGATTGTCTGTGTATCTTGGTTACTCTGTACCAATGAATTGACAGTGAGGCACGGTTATTCTGTACAAATGTATATAGGAATTGTCATTGTATCAGTTTTAACAAAAGTATGTATGGATTGACAATGTATCTCTTAGTCAATGTATCGCCAGTTTCTCTGTACAAATGGATGATCAACTATCACTTTTATATTCTCTTTATACAGAACCTACATAAATATATGTTTTGTAATGAAGCTTGGCATATCTAAATTACAGTTTCTATTATAACCAGGGAATGGCTTAGCTGAAGTCAACCACAGTAAACCTTTTATCCATTAAAGGTATATGAACAATAACCTACTTAAATGGAATCCTAACTTTATCACTATATAGGTCAGTCGTGTGTACTCAATAACCTATCTCCACTACACTTACACTTTACCATAATCTACTATATCTTTGTCAACCTTTCTTTGTATATCTCCCTATCCAATTACCACAGTAAACTTGTTTCTAGTTTGGTGATATATTTTGATGTCAAAATGAGCAAGCCCATAATTTCACCTCTTTACCCTTCATTTCTGGATTTATAGGTCAAATTCCACATCTATATGTAATGAAGGTTATCATATGTAAATTAGTTTCCATAAAAAAAATTATGTATTCCTTTATCCTTTGTATTTTTTCTACAAAAAGATCGTTTTAATGATATAAACTAGAAATGGGTGCCATGGATTGAAAAGCTTTTTAAATGTCCACGACTTATACAGTAGTGTAAATAGGAATTGCACATAACCTGTAATCTACACCATGATTGCAACTAGATAAGACATAATTATGCACATCACATATATAGTTCTCTCACATGTGCAGCCATGTGATGACTGACACCCCACCCGACACTTTCCTCTTAAATACATAAACACAAAAGCTTTATTATTTGCCATCCCCATTTTTACTGTCTAAAACTCCAAAAAATCTCAAAATGAAATCAAATAAGAAATCAGAATTAAATTGATCTAAAACTTTTCTAATAAATTAAAAAATCATCATTTATTGTAGGTCTGTAAAAAAACGTACATTTCTTCTGTTAATCCTCTGCATTCCGAGTTGTAGAAATTGATAAATTAAATTCTTAGCTTAAAACTTAATTCCATAGCAATCCATTTTTTAATTCACATTCTTATCTTATTTTATAGGTAGTTTAAGTTATTTGTGTGTGGGACCAATTTTGTGAGTAGAGTAAACATTACACCTCCACAAAATATATACTACATATCTTAATGACATTCCATACAAACAGACTCTATTGCATGAGCAAAGGCATAATTTATCACAAATAATTTGTACCATCTACTGCAGTTAATTCATTAAAACATGTCCTTGCTAACAACTGGCATTAATTAGCTATGAGTACCAGAATGCAGTGTGTAATAAGATGTTTACACATTCCAGTTTTCACACTTGACCTTGACCTAAGGTTGACCTTTGCCCTGATATGGTTGAATAGTGATTAACATGGGTAACCAAGGTTAATGGTGATACCCTTTGTATTTTAATGGTAATGACCTGGTCCGAAGCTATTGAGGTGGGTTTATCTACCCTTTGAAGATATGGAATGAGTACAAGATTTAATTATGGAGTGTTGACTTCCTTTACAATTGTAAAGAAAATGACACCAATTCATTACTGATTGGAAGGACATAAACAAACACTATCAAAATCATAGCACAACTTGTAATAAACTGCCTCCAGATTATCATATATTTCAAAATCATTTTTGTTTCCTCATTCAATGTAATAGAAGGGGAGGGTGACATTTTTCATTGAATTTAAGGTAAAACAAATATATCTGGATGTGCCAATCTTTCCATATATAATTATCCATTTAACTGTAATTTGAATATCAATGATAACAAGATAGGATATATTGGTAGGCTGTAGACAATATCAATAAATGCACTATGTTAACTGTATTTATTATTCCTATTGTGATTTTCAAAGGATTATCTCATGCTAAGATGGCACATCCACATTCTCTCAAAGATGTGATATATATGTATTTGCTTCCCATTAAGACATAAAATTGAATATGATTCAACAAAAGCCATTCTCCTATAGATTAGAGAACTTTCTTCTGAGTGGATATAAAGTCTGTAAAATAAATAAACGAAAGTTCTTGTTATAAGACATGGCCAACTCCCTCAGGGCAGAGTCGTGCGCCATGAGGTTCAAACCAGTAATGAATTAATACACACATATTGTTTGCTGGAGGCACAGAGTGGTACGGAGTGTAGAACTAATCATTTTGTAATGACATCAATGTAAATTGACCAAATTTGGTGAGATTTCATTCCCACCTAATTCCACATTGTTTCAAGCGGTTTTGATTGTATTAATGTCACTGTGGTTAAACGTCTCTAATAATATATTCCTACATCACGTGCATTACTCATGTGAATCCCTCAGAGAACCACAGGTAAGCTGAAGGCCAAATATGTATTGTATAAGTAGTGTATGTCAGCAAGAAATTTCCAGGCACATGTCCGTACACGAGTTTTCTCCATCTCCTGTTGGAGACAGCCAGTATGTATTACATTTTGCTATGGTCTGTTTTCTATAAGTATTAAGTGTTACAGAATGGGAAGAGATATAATAGCAGTAATTGGAGAGCTAGGTCTTCTTTAGGTCACCTTAAGTGTCCTCTAGTCATATTTAGCACCGATCAAGGTTACCAATGGCCAAAGAAATCCCAATATTAGGTTTTTGCCACCCACATCAGACTTTGCAAACAGATTGGGCTGTATCCTACAAACCTATTTACAATACAGACAAGAAACAGTAAATCTAGACGACGAAAAACAGATTAAGGATGTATGCACTGATCTTGTTGCATATAAATCAAATGAATCTGTAGATGCAGACTTTTGTAGCTAGCATAAACACAAGTCATTATGAACATCTGGGACCATTAAAGTAACTGTAAATGCACAGAAAACTTAATTTTGCACAGCTTATGTACTTTAGGGGTTTATAATTAATAGGATGACATAAAACACAAATTCTGTGAACATTCCGTGATTGAATTTCATTACTCTTTATGTTCATGATTCAATAGAAGTACATAGTGTTCTACTTTCTCTCTTCCACAAAGGTTTTCCATTAGTGAAGAACTTTGGCATCGTTATGTAAAATTTGTCTTTACAGGTACTAGTGTACATATTTCAACACTGTTCAATGATAGGTAACACTAGATAACCTGGACTAGAACAACTGAAACCCTTATAGCCCAGACAAGTAAGGACTGTATTCCATATAGCCCAGACAAGTAAGGACTGTATTCCATATAGCCCAGACAAGTAAGGACTGTATTCCATATAGCCCAGACAAGTAAGGACTGTATTCCATATAGCCCAGACTTATAAGGATTGTATTCCATATAGCCCAGACTTATATGGACTGTATTCCATATAGTCCAGACTTATAAGGACTGTATTCCATATATCCCAGACTTATAAGGACTGTATGCCATATAGTACAGACTTATAAGGATTGTATTCCATATAGCCCAGACTTATAAGGATTGTATTCCATATAGCCCAGACTTATAAGGACTGTATTCCATATAGCCCAGACTTATAAGGACTGTATTCCATATAGTACAGACTTATAAGGACTGAATCCAATATAGCTTTGGTCTATATGGACTATATCTCAAATAGTCCATACCTGTATGGACTGATTTCCATGTAACTCTAACCAGTATTCACTGCATCCAATATATCTCAGACAAGAGAGGACTGATTCCCATATAACCACGACTGGTAAGGACTGATTCCCATATAACCACGACTGGTAAGGACTGATTCCCATATAACCACGAATGGTAAGGACTGATTCCCATATAACCACGACTGGTAAGGACTGATTCCCATATAACCACGACTGGTAAGGACTGATTCCCATATAACCCAGATTGGTAAGGACTGATTCCCATATAACCACGACTGGTAAGGACTGATTCCCATATAACCACGACTGGTAAGGACTGATTCCCATATAACCCAGACCAATATAAAGTATAAAGGAACCCAAAATGGTCTGCACATGTATGACTAAACCCCTTGCAACCTCAACCTTTATAATTCAACCTCTTATATCCGGCTCTTTAAGGACTAAACCTCATATTGGTTTGACCTATCCAAACTCTATCTGTATTCTATATGTATTACTTGGAAAGACAGATAACCAAATATCTGGTTGTAAAGAAATCCAAGTTCTTAAAAAATGCAATTTACAAGCAGAAAATATAAAATGTCCTAAGTCTGAAAAGAAGTGTTTAGTTTTCAGAGTTTGTAAGACAAGATTGTGATCCACATTTTAAACATAGGATAGGTTTTAATTTGCCAGATTTCTATCTAGTAAATCAGGCTAGCTCGAGTGACAATCACGCTATCACTGGAGTCAGTATGGAGGTGTATGTCCTTTGTGTACTTATTACAGCTAAGAAGAAAGGATGGCAATTTTCTAGATTCCTGTGGTTAAAACAGCAATGACTAGATGTAGGAGTAGAAAAAGTATCTGGCTTCATGATGATTACACATAAAGGTACCCACTGGTCTTGTGACTAATACTTACATACAACCTGTGATTCAACAATACATGTATAAACATATACAACCCTTTACACTGCATGATCAATAAAGCAGAAGCTATGCATCAAAACATCTTATTTTTTAAAATCTTGACATATTATGAAATCTTACAAACATAAGTAATTAATAAGATACGGTATCTTATTGTTATTTTCAGAAACTTTGACGGTAAGTATGTTATGCTATGTAGAGATTAGATAATGATGGTTTTTATGGTGATTGAGAGCGAGGAAGAAAAGCAGTATATCTGTATGACTAAATCCTGTAGACCAATACACATACATCATATGTACAGCAGGATTATACCGATAACCCCTATATTCTGGATATGTGCTCTCAGCATGACACAAGTATGATTTTATTCTTTCAAGATGTGGTGGAGAGGAGGGGAAATGAGATAGATTGGGATTGAGGTGAGAGATCTATTGAGAAAGTGTATGATACAGTAGCGTCAGACACACCAAGGTCTGAGATACACTACATGCATTCCATTCTACATGTGTTCGTCTTGTCTGCGTATAAACCTTACGCTTGAACCAAGTCCTCAACAATAAAACAACCTCTGTATAACTACATGTCTATGCTTTAAGTAATCAAGGAATTTTACATTAGAACAACACGATGAATTTCTCTAAGTGGATATAGTAAAATGAAAGTAAGAAAACATTTGTATCTGTACATGTACTCGGCTTAATAACTTGATGCTTTTACACGAATCCAGCTCAGACAGGTAGTATTTTATAGTGATATCAGTGATCTACGTGTATCTAGTTTAGAGAGGCGGTGTTGTGTAATAGTGTTGGGATATTTACAGGTACCAATTTTAGATAGACAGGTGATCTACAGGTATCCAGTTTAGACAGGTAATCTACAGGTATCCAGTTTAGACAGGTGATCTACAGGTATCAAGTTTAAACAGGTGATCTACAGGTATCCAGTTTAGACAGGTGATCTACAGGTATCCAGTGTAGACAAGTGATCTACAGGTATCCAATTTAGATAAACAAGTGATGTACTAGGATACAGCGTAGACGACAGGTGATCTACATGTATCCAGTTTAGACAGGTAATGTTGTATTACAGTCAAAGATGATCAATTAATTTCTCTCCTTATAAGTAATATAACCTACAGTATTTATATTGCAACATCAACATTAACATGTCAAAAGTCTGAGATGTTAACGAAGTACAGGTGTATTAATTATAAGAAGATTGATGACAATTAACATCACCCTCAAATCATGTAAGAGTCATCCTGGTACAAAGTTGACACCTACATTACATATAGGAGAATAATGGTATCTGTGTGTGTTAAAACACTCAAAATCAGAACTTAACGACACAATCGATCTGAACATAGCAGGAAATACCTGTCCCCAATACCCCCGAGACAGTCTTCCTTAACCAGTCACAGGTACAAGGACAGTAGCAAGGTCTAATGAAGCACTCGAGACTGATGACGTCATACCATCCATCACTCAGCACACTCAAGAGGCTCTTGGCAGCTTGAATAAACACTATGTCAACTATATGCAAAGTGTATATATACCTAATTTGAATTTATAGCGACAGACTTCCAATTTCATAATATTTAGCATATAATAAAATAAGTTGCTACATTCTTGGCAGACCAGGGGTAACATCACCAACAAAAATTTACAGGGTTGTTGTTATAGAAGTCAAGCCTCGGATTCTTATTTCAAAGAGTCAGTTAAGCTTTGGAACTGAATTAATATCTTCCATATCGTGTAAATTCCTGAAATTACATATAAATGTAAACAATTTGTTTAAGGTCACTTCGAGGGGGTAAACATGACATGAACATGACCTCTTTGAAAATTGTCATGAAAAGTTTAGGATAGAAAAAAAAATCTCGATTGCTACAGGTATTATAGCTTGGGGATAGAACAAGAGGATATGAAGATTTTTCAGGTACAGAAGTGAACACCAGTTCCCATAACTACACATTGATCAACTTTTTGATTTCTAATTTATGCACCAAAAAATGGTCGACTTGAAATTATCTCGAAGACAATATTAGAAACTTCAGCCTACTTTTGTACTGAGAGCTTGTTATAACAGCTATAAATCTTCACAAAAAACAAAAGGACTGATATAATATATTCAGTGTAAAGAGATCTTATCTCAGTATGTACTTTTAAAATTTTATTTGATAATTCTCTTAATTGTAAACAGAATAATGATATCTGTACATACAGTGACAGGCGAGGAAATATTTATGACTGGTGTCATTGGATTTTTAAGCAGAAAGTTTTAAAAATATATAACCTTCAAGAATAAGTATAGAAGTTTTATAATAAATATCACTAATTCATCACGTGTTTTAGATTGTGTAATCCAATCAAAATCAAGCTTCAAAATAGAGGTGAGAATGTCGGATGATATCATAACTTTCATCATAGCAACTGATACAAATGGTATTATTTATAGGGATGTCTATGTATGATGAATAATAGAATATAGATTAGGATATGAATAGGCCGTAGTGTTATCTATGTGACATATGTCTCGTTAGACAATGTTCAACGTCACATAATACATGATGGATGATACTGCTTATCCTCACGGAAAGGAATCTTTTTGCACTAATGTTCGTTTTGTACCTATAGTGATAATTAACACACATCACGATGTCAATAACATCACATTCAAACCTGTAATACATTTCCCCTGATTTACATGAGCGAAAGAACAAAATGAAATGACAAGATCAAACCATAATGAAAGTGTAATATATTTCCAGATGTTATTATTCATAATAAACTTGCGATGTCAGAGGTGCACTGAAGACACTGAACATTTTGTTTAAGACACAAAGGAAATTAATTAATTAAGTCTAACTCCCTGACATGAAACGACAGCTTGTTGAAATTCTGACCTTACGCTTGTTAGTCAACTTTTACATTGGTGCAGACATACAGGATGTGTTCTAAAACTTTACAAGTATGTTACATGAGTCATGGAAGATCTTGTAAAATTTCAACCCAAAAATAAATGTATTTCCATTTGTGACACTTTTAACAAGACATAAATCATCTTTTTAATTGTCCAAATACACCAATAAAGAAAAGTCTATTTTGAATTCAAATACCATGTAAATATTGTTATATTTAAATGGATGTACTGATGATTGTATTTAGCTTCTAATTAATATCCCCATAATTATTATTCTGTTTATTTAAACATGAATACTCATAAACAGATAAACACATTAACATACAATCAACATATAAACAAGAATATTCTGAATATACAAGGTGATTTTACATATGAGGATTAGATTGAAGAATTGATTGTAATAAAATAGTACATATTGTTTGAGCATTTGATTTTAAGACATATCATATTTGAATGTACTTCCTAATAGGGTATTAGTTAATTTTAAGTCTGATAAATTATATTTCTTTTTTTTTAAACACCTTTTTCCACCAATAAGCCTTGAGGCTGGTGATAACCCACCCATGTATGTATCACAGTTTCAGGAACTACCCACTAAACTCAAATTTTTGTCTTGTTATCAGCCTATGATACTGTGTGTCGGCTTTCTGGACTTACACAGTATTCAATTATTCACAAAATATATCATATGTATATATAAGTAAAGGTCGACTATAAACAGCAGAATATTATATTTACTTTTTCTTATGCTTTTAATCAATTATCTGTGTTTCAAATGTCATCATCATGCAAATGCTGAGAAATCCTTTCTGTTTGACAGTAGATTTCAGGGCAATGTCTTGGTCCATCAAGAATCAAAAGTGAAACAAAAAGCTCAGGATACTTACATCAAAAATGCCGCTGATGTTTTCAACAACTGGAAGAAGACATGCCACTGGCTTGTTTGTGGCCACTTGTCGGATCTGGATACCGGACGGAATGTCAGACTCGCTCAGACATGGCCGAACTGACCAGCACTCCACCACTGCTGATCGATTACTGTTGACCAATCTGTGGACATTGAAATTAACAATATGAAATTTTGAATCAATGTATAGATTGTCATACTATTACAAAAATAACTGTTTCTTCAATGCAGCATCACATCATTCTTTGTCAATGCATATCATACACCTTTCCATATTCTTTTGATGATAAGCCCATGCCTGATAAGCCATATTGCTACATAGAATAGGGATGACCAGATTCTGTACCATCTCGTACACACCATATGTTAGTGCTATACACTACACACTAGCAAGTGTCTGATGAAGGTGATCATGTTGTTACAGAAGTGTCAAACTTCAATCCTAGAGAAACCTACATATGCAATTTGAGAAAGATCTATCCTAGACTTCTCAAGAAATAGCAATACAAAAACTGTTTATGGATCAACGGGCCAAGGACAAAGAGCAATTTGAACATCCAACTTTCTGATGATGGTGAGTTAAAAAAAAAAATAGTACACAATAAATATGTTTTATTTATATATTCGATAGGTTTGGACTTCCTATTAAACGTGATTCCTAAATTATCATAAACCATAATCCAGTTATAAATGAGTATATCTGAGTTCAAAACATTGAGTACCAGACAAGTCCAAAACTAAGTACACCATAGTATTATCACAAAAGAAACACAGAAATATCTATTTACTCCAGTTTCATTTTAAAATTTCCTGATCCTTCTGATTTTGACATTTTGTGCTGGTTTAAATCTTATCACAGTCTGTCTGCAGACTACAACAAGCCCCTCAGATCGTTATATAACATAAACATTACATTCAGTATATGTAATAATAAATCACAGCTTCACCAGTACCTGGTAAGACATGAGTGAGCCATTCTGTATTTTTCACGTACGCATTTACATCTGGAAGTAATAATGACATTGTGGAAGTGTGGCAATGTGGCAACTGAGAAGAATGTGGCACCAGACACTGTCTACAGTAATGGGCATTACAAGATCAAAGTTAACTCCCACAAATCATTACAAAATTAAATTTTCACCTGATAATTCAAGTATTTTAAATGCCAAAACATGGAAACTTTCATCATCATTTCATGTTTGATTCACATGAATCTTTTTAGAAGTTGAAAGATTTTTCTAATCACAACACTTGACAATTAGGAAGAATTCCCACCGAGACAGAGAAAGGTCTGTGGTGATGAGAACTGTACACATAGGAGTGTAAATAACAAATCTATGAAAGGCAGGTGAAGTAAAACCTAACCTAACAATAGCCCAGACCACAATGTACCAAAGTGTGAGATCTACAGCTATAAGCGGATATAAGTAAATTGATGGATAGCAAGAACATGGCCATCTACACTGGAGCTTACTTGTATTTTAATATTTGATACATAAGTGTCAGAAAATCTATAGGCCTTGTATTAATTCTCACTTCATAACTTCTCATCATCACTCAACCCTGTGGTAATTAACTTGAAAATTCTATCAGATTACCAGTGCAATCTATACAACGAAATGGATTCCGTGTAATATTGTATATACCATTCACATTACCAATAGAAACTGTACATTTACATGAAAGGTCTTTTGAAGCAGGTTACTAAATATGCAATAAAGTAGATACAGCCTTATGAAACTTAAGACACAGTTTATTTGCCTTTGAATAAAACTTTTACTAAGATATATTACTCAATACTCATAAGACAATTACCTTTGGTTGGAACATATGTAGCTCCTTGCATTTTCTTCATCAATTGACTTTTGTCGGGGTGGGAAACTGTCAGCATCCTTAAGGATGGAAAGTAAGGAACCAGCACTTCGGAAGGGTTTCTCCATGGAGCAAGGTCGCAGCCAAAGTGATGGATTTGCTTTTGTTTCCCCTAACTGCTCCAACCTCATTTTAACAGTCATATGGTGGCCATATCCACCTAGATTGAAGTTTAGACGAAAATGGTGGTGGATTGTGGTGTTGATTGGAAGTGCCACCCCTACCCCACTATTCTTTGCCAGCACTATGCACTCTGTAACATTTCCAACTTGTGTGGTAAGAGTCTCACTACTGAACACACCCATTCTTTTTGTCTTGTGAACAATAAGTCCGAAATTCAGGTTAACCCTGTCACCAGGTGCATATGAAAATGTCAAGATACTTTTGTCACCATCAGTCGGCTGCCATGTCCATTTCTTGCCATGACGAACAAGCTGTCTTTCAAGACGCTCAGTTTTGGTGGTAAAGTCTTCCTGATAGGAAAATGACAATTTCACATCCAATAGTTTAACTTTTTTTGGTACTTTGTTTCGATGGATCTCAAATTGCGTTATTCCAACCTTGAGTGATTTTGCGGATGACTGCCGCAGCAGGTTGTTGTCGATCTGCTGTTGGACCATACCTTTGTTGGAACCAACTCTCGGCATCACTATCGTGTTAAAAGGGTTACACAAACACAAGTGATTGTTACTCCTACACCTCAATCACATCACTGTGGCTGAAACAATACAAAAACAATTTGTTAATGGTCAATCAATGCAACTTTAAATGACACTTGTTATTGCTGGACTCAAAACACAGTTCCAAATTAGATGAACATGAGAAAATTCTTAAGAGACATGACAAATAGAACAGGAAATGAGAACCCAAAAAAGGCCTGTCCCGGTATGTGTTACTAATAAAACAGTGTTCAGCGTTGAAGTCCTTGCTCACTAAGGTGAAATTTTAAAAAATACTAATATCACCATGAAGATTTTTAAATTGTTGACTTATCAATCAGACAATTATTAACATACACACCTGAGGAGAAGAGTAACAATCCAACATGATGCATTCATTAAGAAGTGATTAGCAGTTATTAAATGGTATCAAAGTCACTGATCCAGATAAAAATCCAACTCAGATGCTGAGAAGGAACCAAGTTGTTTCAGTTACAACCCTCAACAGTAAATATGGAGAACTGATGTTAAATTTTCTTCAAAACCTCCTCAAAAACAAGTGGGACCCAAATGTATACACTACAATCGCTGTCCCCTGTTGTAATTTAAGGTTCTAAGACCTCCTATGTTGTTGGAGGCTCTGTGAGTGCCGGACTGCCTTTGTCAAGTTATCTGGAACCAACAGAACTGCTGGTACCAACCCTCTAGAGGTGCCTGGGACACTGACTCTGCTGTGCCTCAGTGTGTTATCTATGTAGTATACACAGCAGGAAATAAGACCTGTTACAGGTAGGTTGGGTTAAAGGACCGTGACGTGACGACATCAGCCTTCATAACTGAACTGTGACATGAACTTATTCCACTGCAACAGATCCATGTACACATTAAAAGATGTTTACCTGTAATTACAGGTTTGTGGGTGTGTATCAGGGTTTAGAAAAGATCAAACTCTCTATACATCATCCACACAGGATTAGCTGATCTCATATACCTGTAGAACCAGATTGTTCACATCAAAATTTTGATTTATTAGCATAAAAGGAACATTAAAATCCTTTACTCAAACTGGGTGAATGTTTATACAGTAAACAAGACGTAAAACAACAGAGAGCCTTAAACACATAGCTATATGTACACATATACACTACTGGCATAGGACTAAGCTGTTAGAAATCCATGTACTATTTATGGTGATAAAGGCCCATGGACATCAATTACAGTCCAGCCACCCAACATAACTGACTTAAAAATAGAACAGCCCTAGGCTTGTCAACTCTGTCAACTCTAACAATGACATAATAGGCCCAACAAACAGGCTTCTCAATACAGTTTTAATAGTTCCACACTTGTGTGTTGACAAAGATAACAACTCTACCTAACATGGCTGCCAAAGATCCTAAAGGATGTAATTAATTACAGTCAGAAATCAGTTGTTGTCTTAGTAAAACTACAAAATAGCATTACAAATAAAATACCTATAAGAATTACAACATCTAAGGTAGGTTTTTCTCAATAAAGAATGAAGACAACATCTGAGTCTTGAAAATCCATTTATATTTTATTACATACAAGAACATAAAGACTAGACAAGAGTGCAGTTCACAATAATGGAAAGACCTTAGTTTACGTACATTATCCTGTGAATTCATCAATATAATATTTTTGCAGATATGTCATGAGTCTAATGTAGCAGTAACATATCATGGAGAGTTTTACATTAGCTGTGTCAGTCAGTGATGTCATAATATAAACAATTTTTCAGAATGTAACTTTTCTGAGATCTGTGAACAAAAGTGACCTTTCTTTTTTATTTCCTATGACAATTATAGTCTATAAGTTTTAATTTCTGTGGGCGAATTCTCATCTGAAATGAAAACTCATGTAAGATCCTGTACATATATTTTCCTGACCAATATATGGTAATACAGGTCCTGTATATATACCCGATATCAGTTATGAATGCTTATCACAATCAAGAACACATGCATCTTCACAAGGATAAAAGGATAACATATCTTTCACAGTAATCCGAACTGATGATCGCCTTTAATTTTCTCTACTACAGATTATCATACATCAGTTGATAACACTATGGTAAAACATCAGATCAAAGATTAGCTGACCTTGGCAAGATAAACTTACCTTAAGCTAATCGCAAACCCACTGGTCCAATAACCACCAAAACAACAGTACTGTGGCTGCCCTGGATTCCCTATCTCATCAAGCTGGTCAGAGACAACTCAGTACACCTTCACACCTAATCCCTATCTAAACACACAGATATCTGCCAACCATTCCTCAAACACATGCTTATTATGTAATCATCAGACCTATCATTCTATGACCTGGAGAGAAAAGCCTGCATCATGTATATATCACACAAGTACCTGACACATTAGCAATGATTATACCATAAGGCGGCCAGGGTTCTCAGCTTATCAGTGTGTCTCGTAGTATCATAATTATATTATAAAGTTTTTTACACATGTTACATCTGTATGTCACCAAGGAATCTTTTTTAATTATAACACATAGTCGGTAGAGAGATTTCTAAAATTAGCAGTTACACAGTTCATACCTGAAGCTGTAAGCCATATTTCACTTGCAACGAGACAAATATAACACAAGTTAATTTTTCATTGCCAAATCACCTGCCCTTGGCTAACATCAGTTGTATATACAGGCCTGTTGGTCTAATAAACTACATTTTTGTATATCCTCATACAGCTACATCAGCTAGGTATTTAACATATCTATTGAATAATTATCAGAGTCATGCCCCAGCTTGCGACAAGATTTCCGATGTCATTGAGTACATATTAACTCTACAGCACCCACATCAGGATGGATCAATATCACAATCTGGGATACAGTGTTTATCTAACCTGAAGAACATTGATAATATAATGATATAATACACTGTAAAACATCAACTGTACCTGATGGTTTGATACTTTAACGGTCAGTTCATATCAATATATCTTATAACTAGTACAGTCTCTACAAAACCTGACCTAGCTTTAAGGTACATATACCCTGAACAATTTAAGCTGACCTAGATATGAGACAAAAAGAATGATGACTGCTTTGGATCATGTCGATACTGAATAGAAATTACACAGACAGCAAATAAAACTACATCATAGGAATTTGAAGAATCAATAGACTTTAATGATAGCAGATTTATATATAAAACCAGGGTAACATGCAACAGACAAGACTAGATAGATCATACATCAATATACCTTATATCCACAGAGGGCAACTGTATCTCCAGATCAACATAAACTTACAATGTCTCCAGTCCATTTTACATTATGACATAGACATATCTATGTATATGTATTCACCATGGTTTTTGTTGTTGTGTTTATATTCCTTTAACCCTGATATAAAAAATATATATTCATCATGTATGTTTACATTTCAGTTTTAAATTACACCACTGGCAATGGCGTGGGAGGAGGGCGGGGGGGAGGGGGGAAGAGGCAAATTTCCCGTGAGAAAATTAAATATGAAACAATGATAATCACATTATATAATATTAAATTATTCACTCAAAATGGATGTTTGAGGTTTAAAAATGCATACTTGTATATTTGTCCAGTTTAACAGGAAAACTGTAGAATTTTGTATTGAGCTGTGAAAATGTCTGATCCTGATCAGCTGACACTCAGCTGGTACATAATACCTTATTGAGGTAATTCATCCAGGCGTTAAGTCTGAAATGTTTGCTGTGAGACATACACAGAAATGAAATGAAAACATACTTGGTTGGGTCAAATTATAACACAATGTACAATAAATAAAGTTCTTTTAGTCTTTGTTCTGTTCATAGTCCTCAATTCTTACCGTAAACAGAAAGCATAGAAAACCATCAAATTCTGTAAAAGTGTGGAAATCGCACGTTTCCATGAAAACATTACAAAATGTTATATGTAACATCTTTATACACAGCTACAGTTATTGTGAGATATTGGAAATAAACTTTCTATTTACAGTACAACTGACAAATGATGTATGTAGCCTTTGACCTGACCAAAACAACAAAACTGAGACTTTTTTCTCTCAAGAACTACTGTATGTGCATGAGTCATTAGCCAAAGGGAAGTATAAGGTTATTGCGCAGAAAACATTGCACAGACAACGAAACTAACAACCACTAAGTGTGCTGATTGCTTGTTACCCAATTCTAAGGTAACACAACTTTACCAGTAATGTATCCATTGCTAAGTCACATACTGCATCAATAAAAGACAATTATACAATATCTCCTTTCAATAGGATAATCATTTGTTACTTTATGCCAGTAATTTGATTTATTATAGTCCAACTACAATGACCTGTCCTTTTCACCTTTCATCTTGATTTCAATTACAGGCTAGTTAATATAAAAAAAGGAGACAGAAGTAAATTGTTTCATCTTTAAGCATGTTCTTTACTCTAAACACATGGATTTAATCAGTAAGTATTCCACAAAAAACAAACAAATGAATTCACCCAACCTGAATGTTCAAGTCAAAGTTCAATTTGACAAGACATTCTAGAGCACTATAGACCTAATGTCACACAAGACAAGATTATAATCAACTAATGTGGAAGGCCTTTCACGTAAAGTTGGGGATTCATTTTCATTCCTCTGGAGACAATCAATCAAAAAATTTAATGCATACATGATGAAAATGCATATTTTCTTTTCTATACATCAGCAGTATTTTTCTTTATGTCTGCTTTTTTAAAAATGTGAACCAAACATGAAAACTCTAACAGTGCTCTAGTTACCCAGACATGCAGCTGTTTAAGTAAACATGCATGTTGACGCCATAATAGATAACCGCCAAATGACCTATACTTTTTTAATTTTATTTAAGTACTTGGTTATCTATTCTCGACCCTAAATTATACCCTGTAACATAACAACATTTAGCTGACCTTCGCTCTCCAGGTTACAAAGGGACAGTCATCCAGGTGTGTAAGAGGATCTACTAGGTGTAATGTAATACCCTCTTGTGTGTGTTGGACTTTCAATACATTTCAATGAGATTATATATACATGCCACAACTGACCAGCTCTTGACCTTTTGCGATCTTTAGTTCTGAATTCAAATGGTCACTACTAACCCATGGTCAAGGACAGAATGAACTGTTTGGATGAATTAATGACCATAAGGTATCTATAGATATCCTAATGCATTTGGTGTCCTACATTGTTTTGTCACTTGTGAAATAATGAGCAATAGATACCAGGTTTAAAGTCTCTGCTAAAATATCTAAACAATTCTATTTTCAAGCCAATCATATAAAGAATTCATGTAACTAGTTTCCCATGGAGAGTGAAATTAATGTTATTGTTGCTTGTAATGACTACGTCCAAATCATCTCACTAAGTCGTTATAAAGTCAGGGGTCTGATCAATATTATGGTCCTTTCCCTCAACAAGCACAGGTAATAACGACAAACCAAAAGGATAAAAACCATATCATAATTAATTTTTTGTTTGCTGGGTTTCATTGCCCTGTCAAGAACCAAGGTCATTTTGAAGCAGGTAGTAGCTGGTGGATACCTCGATGAACAACATTAGGAAGACCTGCTAGACACAGCAAATGGAATAAAGTGTCTAGAACAAAAAACACATCCATGTC